GTTCTGGTGAGAAAGAATGGACATTATTAACAACCACCAACAATCCAGTTTGTTCTGGTGAGAAAGAATGGACATTATTAACAACGACCAACAATACAGTTTGTTCTGGTGATACAGAATGGACATTGTTAACAACGACCAACAATCCAGTTTGTTCTGGTGATACAGAATGGACATTGTTAACAACGACCAACAATCCAGTTTGTTCTGGTGATACAGAATGGACATTGTTAACAACGACCAACAATCCAGTTTGTTCTGGTGATACAGAATGGACATTAGTTAACAACGACCAACAATACAGTTTGTTCTGGTGATACAGAATGGACATTGTTAACAACTACCAACAATCCAGTTTGTTCTGGTGATAATCAATGGACATTACTAACAACAACTAACAATTCAGTTTGTTCAGATTATGTATAACAACTGTAAAAAATAAAAAGACGTAAATATTTGGAATAATTTTCAGATTTCAGTTAACATTATTACAGAAAATTGGCTTTTCCTTTTCAGTAACCCCAAATTAAATTGTTTTAAACACCAAAAATTCAAACTTTTTAGGTTTTAGTAAAATTATTTACTGAGTTATAAAATGATACACTTAGTTTTTTTTTTCATATCATCAGATTTGGTAAAAGGGATAACATAAGAAAATACTTACTCAGAAGCTATAAAGGCATGTTCTTTAATAGTTTTGACTACATCAATAAACTTAATTTTGGTAGTAAGTGTATGACCATGATAAATATAAGGCATTCCTTCTGGACCATCCCAGCAGTCCACTGAAATATATAAATGTATATTTTGAACAATCATGAAACCTCTTAATACATAAAATAAAAATATTAAAATGCTTCAAATAAATATGCAACATACTTTTCATCTAATGAAGTACGTTAAACACTGCAAACTCATATCAATAAATTACTAAAATGTTTAATGAAGATAATTTTACTCTATTATACTTCACAGTAGTTGGAAAAAATATGTACTAAAGTTATGTTTTTAAGTTCATATTCAATTCCTGTAAAATCAGAG